CTTCGACTGTGATGGTGCTGGGGAGTGACTAGATTGGAGTTTGCTCTGGTGGTTGTTGAACTGTTGGATTTTTTTGTTTGTTTGTCTACTCTTGTTTTGAGATGAGCTCTTGCTGTGTAATGTACATTAGTTTAAAACTTTTACCGACTGCTTTAACATTCTAAGTGCTGGGGTTACAGGAATGTGCCACCACCCCTACCTGGTACTGTCAAGTTTTGCTGAACGCATTTTTTTTTTTCTCAAGCCTTATAAGTGTTGACCTACAGTGGACCAACTTGTAAATAATTTTCAGCACCCCCACCTCCAAAAAAAAAAAAGCATTGCTATTGCTGTTCCAGTTTCCTATGTAAAGTTTAACGTTGTGTTCTAGAAATTCTCTACCGCCTCCCTACCCCATTCCTCAGACACCATTGGTTGGTCAGATTCCTCCCTACCCCACTACCCAGACACTATTGGTTAGTCAGATCCTGGCCTACTCCACTCCCCTGATACCATTGGTTGGTCAGATCCTGGCCTACTCCACTCCCCTGATACCATTGGTTGGTCAGATCCTTGCCTACTCCACTCCCCTGATACCATTGGTTGATCAGATTTTTTTCCCTACCCTTCTACCCAGATATCATTGGTTGGTCAGATTCTTCCCTACCCCACTCCCCAGATATCATTGGTTGGTCAGATCCTTCATGTATTAAAAGAATGCATTCCATCATGGTCAGGAAGACATGATATCAGAGCAGCTGTGTTGCACCACTGGCCAGGAAACAGAAAGGGGAGTGCACTCAGCTGACTTTCTCCTTTCCAACCCTTTTTTTTTTTTTTTTTTTTTTTTTTTTAAAGCAGTCTGGGATCCAAGCCACAAGAAGGTACCACAAGCCTGCGTTCAGGGTGGGACTTCCTTCCTCAGCTAAACCTGTGGAAACATCCTCACAGACACACCTTTAGGTGTACCTCATTAATGCCCTGGGTGTTCCTAGGTGTTCAGCCAAGTTGACACTTGAAATTAGCCTCACACATGGGCAGATAAAAATACCTCTTTGTAGCATTCAGGCTGTTGTGCACTTCTTCAATTAGGCTATGCACTAGTATTAATTTCTTTTATTTTCTTACTCAGTACTGTATTAAAATGTACATGTGCTTCATACAGATGATTTCAACGACATGGAATATATGGAGGAAATCCTTCTGAGCCAGGGAAATCTTCCCTGTATTGGGTGTCACTACTCTGACTCTTTGGCACCATATTTCTGAATGACTGGCGAACCATTAACAAAAACATACTGCTTTTACTGTATAAAGATTGATCTTGATTTCTTCTTGTGAGGAGGTATCCTAATTATTATGGATATAATTGCATTTCACCATCCCAAATATCTTTTGGGTTTCTGGTTGTAGTAGTGTAATATGTAAATATCTTATCCATTGTTTGTCAATTCCAGAAGCAACAAGAATTCTGTAATTCTTTTGTACTTTTTTAATTTGAATAAATATGAAGAACCAGGTCTTTATAATGTGTTATTCTCCTTTTTCCTTCTCCTAATGGTGAACCAGCCTGCCTCCATCTTAGGTTTAAAAGCCATCTTATAGTAAAGACAAGCTAGGCGCATTCCTGTTTATGATGAAATCTGTTTCTCAAGGATTGGGCTATTTCTGACCTGAAACCTTAACCACAAATGGTGCTGTACTGCCCATTCAGGAAATGACAACCATGTCTGTGGTTCAAAGAGTTATAATGACCATCTTGCAACCCTACCTTTGTTTCAAAAGGTCGTTTGTTGTGGGATATTTGATTGCACTGCTACACTCCGAGACTGTGTCGATAAATTAACCCTGGATCAGGGGGCAGAGCCAGCAACTAGTTGATAAGAATTAGCCATAGACAATATGGAAGACCCAGAAATATGGATAGAGAGATGCACAGGAAGGAGCAGGGAGGGACTTAGAGATTCAGGGTCTTTTTGGTTTGGGACAAATGGAGAGATGGGTCTCTTGCTGGGTCTTTAGTCAGAAAGGAAGGTCAACTGGTTGTTTTTCGGCATCTCAAATCTAGCAGGTTTTCACCCCAGCATCTGACTCCCGAGTCTTTATTGGTAAATAGAGCAATAGAGACTTAGTTAAAACCTACAATTGGTGCCTCGGCCAAGCTGGTGTGATGGAAATCCCACCAGGCCACAGTCTGAATGGTGAAGTGCTGGCTGTGGTGCTGTGGGGTGCAGACAGTAGTTAAAATATCAGTAAATTCAATTGGTGTAGCTGCGAAATTGAAAGAAAAACAACTTGTCATGACCACCTTGTCATGACTACTTGCTGTAATGACAACCTTGTTATGTTCTGCTTCTGTAACTATTTTTCCTGCCAAATCCCCCTACCCCTGAGCAATAAAAGCCCCATCTTTCCCATGTCCAATGTTGATCTCTTGAACCCCGCTTTTAGGGGGAGACAGCCCATGTACATGAATAAAAAAGCTTGCTTTAATGAATTACTTGCTTTAATTAATTTGGCCCTGATGATTTGGGTCAGCAGTCTTTCTCCTGGCACCTTTGGGATTAATGCTAATTGGAATGGTCTGATGGAAGGGAGGAAGGCGTTTTGAGAAAGCTAGAGAATTTAGCACCAAAAATGAACCTATGAAGTATGCCTGAAGTAAATCATATTTGTTCTTCTCTATGCCACATATAGTTTTATAGTTTTAATTTTTAAGAGAAATTACCCAAAGAGAGAAGTGAAGAGTACTTTACATCTTGTCCATCCAGAAGACTTCCTGAATTCACGGGGATGAGAAGTGATCTCAGTGAGCCCCAGCAATTTTTTTTTAAATCTCTTTGATGTGGTTGCCTGTAATTTTAGACCTGGTAAAGAGATTTTCACCCCTTTCAATTACATTCTCACTTGATTTTTGTCTTCTATATTGTCTAGTGATACTATATTCAAAAAATATAAATGTAAATTGGACTCAGACAACTTATGTTTTTCTTCATGTGAATCTTTTGATGATGCATTTATTTGGAGAGTGTTTATTATGTTTGTTTTAAAATTTCATTTGATAATTATACATGCTCTTTTTTTTGACAGGTTTTATTATGTAGCTCTGGCTGTCCTGGAACTCACTCTGTAGACCAGGCTGGCCTTGAGCTCACAGAGATCCACCTGCTTCTGCCTCCCAAGTACTGGGATTAAAGTTGTGTACCACAATGTCCAGCTACATGCTGAATTTTGCCCAACTTAAATTTTTTTTTTTTTTTTGCAGTGGGGTTTCTTTATATTGACCATGTTGGCCTCATTCATGGGTTTAAGTAGCCTTCCTGTCTCATTCTTCCAAGTAGTAGCACCTCCACACCCAGCTTGCAAAACTTCTAAAATAATTATCACCTTGTCCTCACGCAGTTCAGTTCTTTCTGTGGTATCTGTAGCCATTGGTCAGTTTTTCTCCCCACAATAGATTGTAAGCCCCAGACCAAGCCATGTGGTTGATAATACTGTATTGTTTCCATGTAGATTATAGAGTTAAGGCACTTAAAAATGTAGTTTAGCCTTAGACTTTAACTGATATATTCATTAGATGGGATCAAAACTGAACTGTGATTGAGGGTTTCCTGGTTTACCAAGTCTTTTGGTGTGGTCTCAGGACAGCCTTTGGAGATTTTTTTTCTTTAAATAATCCATTTATTTATTGTATGTTCCATGGCATGTGTGTGGAGGTTGGAGGACATTTGTGGGAGTCTGTTCTCTCCTTCCACCATGGGTCCTGGGAATTGAACTCAGGCTGTCAGACTTGGCAGCAGGCACCTTTTCCCACTGAGCCATCTTGCTGGGAATTCCCTGTCCACCCAGATCTCTTCATTAGTTTGTATTATGTATGGTTGTGTGTCTGTGTAGGGTATGTGCATACGAGTCCAAATGCCCTTAGAGGTGATGGATCTCCTGGAGCCTGGAGTAACAGGTGGTTTTGAGGCACCAACACGAGGTTCTGGGAACCAAACTTGGGTCCCCTGCAAGAGCAGTGCATACTCTCAACACTGAGCCATCTCTCCAGCCTCAGACAGATTGATTTAGTGGTGTTCTGGAATAGTAGGCCGTTGCAGGCATGTTATAGAGAACTCTGGATGCTCAATCCAAGGGCGCCATGGATTCTTGGCCTTATTGTCATGCCTGGCAGTTTTCTTTTTTCCATGTATTTATATTATATTCTGTTCCTTGGGATGCAAAGGACGTTGGTGTGTGCATGTGCCTGTATGTATGTGTGTGTGCATGAGCACAGTTGTTCATGTTGCTATATGTTTTCTTTTTATCTTTACAGTGGGTACAGTCAAGTGGTATTTAAAATCTTTCTGGAACTGGAGACATGAGGCTGAAGATATCGCTCTTAAAAGAACCAAAGCATATCCTTTTAGTACTGTAAACCTCACTGCATTCAACTTGCTATGATACTATTAAAGGTTTTCTTCTGCTTTCTTTTAGATCTAATGGTTATTTTTCATTTCTTGAATGGTACTTTATAGACAAGTTGTTTTCAAAATATTTAAGACCCCAGTTGTAGTTATTTCCCCAAAGTATACTGTGAGCCCAAAAGTCTTACTTTCAAATATTTACTGACATTTTTATTACTCTAATTAAGTGTTTTAAAAGTATCCTTTGTTTAATCTAATAGAATCTTAAAAAGAATCTTTAACAAAACCTGAATGATCAGCCAGGCGGTGGTGGTGCACACCTTTAATCCCAGCACTTGGGAGGCAGAGGCAGGTGGATCTCTGGGTTCGAGGCCAGTCTGGTCTACAGAGTGAGTTCCAGGACAGCCAAGGCTGTTACACAGAGAAACCTTGTCTCAAAAGTAAAAAACCAACAACAACAAAAAAAGTCTGAATAGTCTGCTAATGTGATCTCACATGTATGTGCTCATTCAGTTTTGCTTTCTTTCTTTGTACTCCTGATAAAGTAGAAGGCAAATTAGGGAAATCCAAACAGCGAGTCCTTTATTACTTCACAAAGGAAGGTGGTAGTTATTAATCTCTTCCTCGATATACGACTCTTGTATTCTATTTTGTCAGAGAGAGCCTTCAGCTGGGTTTCAGGAAGGTACAGTTGGTCCCTCTCTCCTCACTCTTGGTCACTTCAGTTGGTTCTCAAGGTATTTAGTCTCTGTGGACTCAATTGCAGGTCTGTGAGGGAATAAGAAACTTAATCCGGGGTGAGACTTACTGTTTGAATTTATCATCCTTGCACCATTCAAAAATAATGTTTTAGCAATTTATTTGAGGCTTGTTTGTTTGCTTGCTTATTTATTTATTTTGTTGATGAGGATTGAACTCAGGCCCACCTTAAGCATATTAAGCTCATGTCTACCATGGAACTATATTCCCAGTCTCCATTTTTATTTTTATCTTACCAGATGTCAATCTGTCATGGATGTGAAATGAAGAAAATCTGGTCCCTCATCAGAAATAGGGAAATACCGATTCAATAATAAATATAATTTAAAATTTCGTTTTTAATTTGTTATTTATTTCTTCAATTCTTAATAAAGATATAGTTTCTCCTCTTTATATCAATTTCCTATCTTTTCAAAGGATGCTCTCAGGAATTCATACCACTATAGGTGTCTGGTGTTTGTGTTTACATCTTTAAGCTGACGATAACTCCCTTTTTAGATTTTCCTCACCTAAAGGTCCTCTCATTCCTACTCTTAGTTAACACTATAGATGCACATGTAAACAACCTTATATAGACTACTGTTGTTTTGTTTTGAGATGTATGTATGTGATGTAGGTTTACCTAAGCTGCCTGTCTTGGTTTTAGAAATAGTGTTGGGGGCTGGAGAGATGTCTCAACAGTTAGGGACACTTGCTGTTCTTCCAGAGGACCCAAGTTTGGTTGGCTTACCTGTAACTCCAACTCCAGGGGATCTGATGCCCTCTTCTGGCCTCTGGGGACACCTACATACACATGTGGCATACATACTCATGCACAAATAAAAATCAAGTAAACCCTTAAAAAAAAAGAAACATTGTTAGGTGGCAGCAATTGTACTGAGTTCTTTGGTAGTGGTCCTTTCTTGTACATTGTGCTTTGGTTCAGAATAGTCCAGTACCACTTCCTTACTTTCTTATGATATTGCTTAACATCTATATCTATATATATCTGTATCTATATCTTGCTTAATCCATCATATTTTGAATTAATTAAAAAAATCTTAGAACATATCATACTGATTATGGCTCAGTCTTTTTCTGTTTCCTGAGAAAAAGTTTGTTCACATAAGATAAAAAGAACATTGCTGAACAAAAACAAGGTGAGAAGATTGTATAAGAACCCTAAGAGAACAGACTACCTACCTGGGGTGGACCTGGTGATGTAGAAATAGAGGGATAAACAAGAATAAGCATCTTATATAAGTAACAAGTAGAAATACTTTCTCCAGGTACACAATTCTGTTAGGGTAACCAGGTTGTCCTGAAAACAGAAGTGGGATTTTCACTTACATTTTCATTCACTTAGGATGTGAGACTAAAGACTAAATTAAATGAAGAATTTGGGGAATTGTATTTCATTTATTCCTATGCATCTTACAGTAAATTTTAACAGAATTATTTTTGATCTGAGTGTCAGAAAATTTGGATTGCTGGAGTGGTGAGATGATTCACTGGGTAGGTACCTGGCACCAAACCTTATCTGAGTTCAGTTCTTGGGGCCTACATGGTGGAAGGAGAAAACGGACTCCTTCAAACTCCTGCAAGATGGCCAGACCTTTACATGAGCACTGTGGCAGTGTTTGCACACACACACACACACACACACACACACACACACACACACACACAAACACACACACACAATCACTCATGATAAATAATAAATATCATTTTCAAACTTAAAACACTGTATTGTCAATTAAACATAATAACTAGGGACTGAGGGTGTAACCATCATACACAGAGCCCTAGGTTTGCTCTTAGGACCGTAAGTGAAATGAAAGCAGGAGAAACAGTAAGATGGTAGTTCCAGCTGTTAGGCCCCAGCATCCCTAAAGGACTACCATCATAATATGTAACTAAAAGGGACAGTTCACTGTTAGAGTTCAGTCTTCTTAAACATTAATGTTTTTAACTTACTAAAATAGTACCTGTTACTAAGCATTGTGGCTCACGCCTTTAATCTCAGCACTTGGGAGGCAGAGGCAAATGGATCTCTGTGATTTTGAGGCCAGCCTGGTCTACAGAGTAAGTTTTAGGCCAGCCATGGCTACATAGGGAGACCCTGTCTCAAAAAAGGTGGTGGTGGGGGGGGAGCGGGCTGGAGAGATGGTTCAGAGGTTAAGTACTTACTGTCTTGCAGAGGACCCTGTTCAATCCCCAGCACTCACATGGCTCACAATCATCCATAACTCCATAACTTAGTTAGGTTTTTATTGCTGTGATAAAACACTGTGACCAAAAACAACCTGGGGAGGAAAGGGTTTATCTTACCTTATAGTTCCACATCAGAGTCCATCACTACTGAAAGTCAGGGCAGGAACTCCAACTGGAGGAACCTGGAGGCAGGAGCTAATGGCGGAGGCCAGAGAGGGGTACTGCTTGCTGATTGTCTCATGGCTTGCTTAGCCTGCCTCCCTATGGCACCCAGGACCACCAGCCCAGAGGTAGCATTGCTCACAGTGAGCAGGGCCCTTCCACATCTATCATCAATCAAGAAAGATGCATCACAGGCCAATCTGGTGCGTCATTTTCTCACTATTTTGAGGTTCCTTCCTACCAGATGACTCGGCTGTGTCAAATTGTCATAGAATTAGCCAGCACACTTCAGTTCCAGTAGACCTGAAGCCCTCTTCTGACTTCCATAGGTATCAGGCATGTATATGTGCATAGACATACATGCAAGCGAAACACTCATGCACAGTAAGTAAATCCTACATGTTAGATAAATCAAAAACAATTTAAAATTATAGCAATATATGCATTCTAATAAATAATAAGATATATACATAAATATATGTATCTTTAGTCCCTCTTTCTTCCTGCCTCTCTCACAACATCCTTTCCTACCTGTTGACTTTTTACTTCTTCTTTTTTTTGTTTTTGGTGGTTTCAAGACAGGGTTTCTCTGTGTCGTTTTGGTGCCTGTCCTGGATCTCGCTCTGTAGACCAGGCTGGCCTCGAACTTACAGAGATCCACCTGGCTCTGCCTCTTGAGTGCTGGAATTTAAGGCGTGAGCCACCACTGCCCGGCCTGACTTTTTACTTTTTTACGTACTGACTTTGAGTGTTTGTTTGTATCTTTTGACCATGCTTAAGGAATATTTTCTATGACAAATTTTGATTTTGAGTGTTTATATCTTTTGACCATGCTTAAGGAATATTTTCTATGACAAATTTTATTCCCTCTCTGTCTGGCTTCCTTTGATTTCTATCCTTACAACTACTTGGAAGACATTTTCCTTTATATGGAAAAAAATGTTAAAAGTCACACAATGAACTGGGTGGTAGTGGCTCAAGCCTTAAATCCTGGCACTCAGGAGGCAGAGGCAGACAGATCTCTGAGTTCGAGGCCAGCCTGGTCTACGGAGTGAGTTCCAGGACAGCCAAGGCTACACAGAGAAACCCTGTCTCAGAAAGCAAAAAAAGAAAAAGCCAAACAATGAAAAAAATACAATTTAGAAGCTTGAAAACATTTGGCTGATTTCCTTTTCATGATCCACATCTTGAATGATTTTCAAGACTTACACCGCAAGTCTGTGCTTTATGTCTCCTTAACATGACGCCACATCAGGAGTTAGTGAGCTGTGTGGGTTGGACGACTGCTGAGGAGCTGTACTCCTGCAGTGATGATCACCAGATAGTGAAGTGGAACTTGCTAACCAGCGAGACCAGTCTAATAGTAAAGCTGCCTGATGACATCTACCCCATAGACCTTCACTGGTTCCCCAAAAGTTTAGGCATGAAGAAACAGACTCAGGCAGAAAGTTTTGTCCTCACAAGTTCTGATGGTAAGTTTTGTTTGTTTGTTTTATGTGCATTGGTATTTTGCCTGCCTGTCTGTCTATGTGAGGGTGTTTGGATCCTGGAGTTACAGACAGTTGTGAGCTGCCCATGTGGGTGCTGGGAATTGAACCTGGGTCCTCTGGAAGAGCGGTCGGTGCTCTTAACCACTGAGTCATCCTTCCAGCTCGTTGATGGTAAGTTTTCAGTGAATGTCCTATGCACATCTATGTATTGAAAATACAGTATAGGATTATGATTTGTGCCTGGAGTTGTTTTACAAAACTGCTATTTGTTGTGGATACTGTCAGCTGCACATTTTAGTTTCCTGTATGACCCTGGTGATTTTGAAGGATCCAGGCCTGTTATTTTATAGAAAGCCCCTTAACTTGTCTTTTTCACTGTTTCTCTATGATTTGATTTGGCTTACACAGTTTTTAGTGGGAATGATAGGAGACTCATGGTGTTGATTTGACACATTATTGTGATGTTAATGTCTTTCCTGACAGCAACTGCTTTGTAAGCCAATCTACTACGATGTTACTATTTTCTCCCCAACTTTGCAATTTGTTTTACTTTATGAGTGTTTTGCCTACATGTATGTATGTGCACCACATGTATGCTTGGTGCTTGCAGAGGTTAGACAAGGGTATCCGATGCCCTGGAAATGGAGTTATGGATGGTTGTGAAGCATCGTGAGGGTATATTGAGAAGTTGAAGCTGGTTCTCTGCAAGAGCAACAAGTGCTCTTAACCACTAAGCTGTCTCTAGCCTCTATTTTCTCCATTTTAATAACTTGTTTATGCAAACATATTTTGAGACTATAAAAAGGTATTCTGTTGCTTAGATTTCCTCCCATTCCTAAAAATTGACTGATGATTCTTGGCTAGATCATTTATCCCAGAGAAGCTGCCAAATGATAGCAGTTCTTTCTCTCTCATCCTACCCCATGTTAAACGTTGGTATTCTGCTTCAAGGAGAAACTTTACGTGCCATTTGCCTTACTTGGTTTAATGTTTGGTTAGCCTCACAGATTTGATTTGATTTCATAAATATCCTGTTACTATAATGTCTTGATCTTGATTTGGAACTGTCCCGTATTTGGCCACTGGGAGCCCCATCAATGGACCCAGTTACATTGATTTTTGTTTTTGTTTTGTACGTGTGTTCATCATTTCTTGAGCACTTCCTTACCGACACAAGATGTCCCAAACTAATCTGTAGGTCTTAGTCCCATTTTCTAATTCATCCATTTTCCAAACAGGCCTGATTTTAGATGGTGAATGATATTTAAGAGCCAAGATAGGGACACTGCTAGTAGTATTCGTTCTAATGGGGTGTGTCTACTCTTCAGACTCTTCATCAAACAGAACTAAGACACGGGATTACAAATGCGTACTTAAACAATTAGGGCCGCCATTCAGATGGTTCGGTGGGTAAAGGCACTTGCTGCCAAGCCTGATGGCCTGAATTGAGTCCCTAGAAACCCATTGTGGGAAGGAGAAACTGACTTCTGCAAGGTGTCCTCTGACCTCTATTTTCGTTCTTTGGTACATGCATGTCCCTTTCCCCAATAAATAAATACATGTAAAAATTATTTTTAGGTGCATGTCAGTAGCCAGTTCTCAACCACTTTCTATCTAAACCTTGAATATATTTTGGTAACACCAATTCTAATTCAATACCACAGGCTTATTTTAGTTTTTCTTTTTCTGATACTTGGAAACAATGAGGAACTATGGTTATCAATATTAGTATATACACTCATTTGTTTAATTCTATAATATATAATTTTAAAAATTAATAATGCAGACTAGACTACTATAAAAATTAACCTGTTTAGTATTTGTTTGCTATTATTTTTATCCTTAGTTCTGTCTTCCCCTCCCCTCTCCTCTCCTTTTCTGTTTCTCCTTCTCCCTGTCACCCCACCTCACAAGAGTCTCACTGTGTATCCCAGGCTACCCTGTATAACCCAGGCTATTCTGGAATTCACTCTTCTTCTGCCTCTGCTTCTTATGTGCTGACATTACAGATGTGTCCCAGTCTGTGGACATTTGTAGGGCATTTGTGATCTTTAAAAATGTGTTTCACATTTTTCAAATGTATATAACTATCTTCTCATTTGTAATTAATTTGGATTACTCTAAAAAGTTAAGATTAATTTTCTTTTTTTAAAAAGATTTATTTATTTATTATGTACACAGCAGAGGGCGCCAGATCTCATTACAGGTGGTTGTGAGCCACCATGTGGGTGCTGGGAATTGAACTCAGGACCTCTGGGAGAGCAGTCGGTGCTCTTAACTTCTGAGCCATCTCTCCAGCCCTAATTTACTTTTTATTTAATAAGAGATTACTTTTGTTATTCAGAGCTTAAGTATGTTTTTAAATCCAAATCACCCAATTTTTTTGCTTATTAAATGAAATATACTATATGTGAATGCCTATCATGTGAGATTTTTTGCATCTTTTTTTATTAGACTTGTGTTCCTTAAGATTAAGAATTGTGACATTATTTGCTCTTAAGCCTCTAGTGCCTAATAACTAGTTGTTAGTTAATCATTGCTAATTAACCTAGTAGTAGGAACTCTGTTGTTGTTTGTTTTTTCTCTTTTGGTCTTTTTAAGGGCCTACCACCCAGCTCCCAAATAAATCACTCACAGAGGCTTATTTTTAATTATGAATGTCTGTCCTTAGCTGGGCTTGTTTCTTGCCAGGTTTCCTTAACTTATCCCATCTACTTTTTGCCTCTGGGCTTTTCCCATTCTCTGTTTTTATATACTCTTCTTTCTTATTCCATTGCTGATTATATAGCTGGTGACTGGCTCCTGGAATCCTCCTCCTTCTCTGGTTATTCCTTTTTTTCTTCTCCCAGATTTCTCCTTCTATTAATTCTCTCTGGCCAGCCCTATGTATCCATTCCCCTGCCTCGCCATTGGCCGTTCAGCTCTTTATTAGACCATTAGGTGTTTTAGACAGGCAGAGTAACACAGCTTCACAGAGTTAAACAAATGCAGCATAAACAAAAATAACACATCTTAAAATAATATTTCCCAACAGAACTCACCAAGTACTTTAGTGTAAATTAATTTAATAAAATAGATTCTGACAAATCATTTCTTTTAGGTAAGTTTCATCTGATTTCCAAGTTAGGAAGAGTGGAAAAAAGTGTAGAAGCCCACTGTGGAGCTGTGCTTGCAGGAAGATGGAACTATGAGGGGACTGCATTAGTGACAGGTAAGTTCTCGGCAGGTTGGCCTCTCTTTCTTGTGCTGGCATCCAAACCAGGGCCCTTCACACTGTAGGGAAGTTATCTACCTCTGAGCTCCAGAATGACATTTTAAATGAATTTGTAAAGAAGTTTCAAAGGAAATGCTTTCTTTGTTCTCATTTTATTTCTATGCTGTGATAAAATATTGTGACCAGAAACAACATCTGGGCAGGGAGGGGTTGACTGAGCTGCAAGTCCAGGTTATAGTCTGCTTTTGTGGGGAAGTCAAGGCAGGAACTCAGTAAATTCTACCCATCATCAAGAGCAGAGAGATAACAGACACTTGACCAGCTCTTTTTGCTGTTAGTGGTTCTGGGCCCGTGATGAAGTGGTACTGCCCACAATGGGCTGGGTCTTCCCACATCCATTCCAATCAAGATAATCCCCCTAGACATGTCTCCTGGCCAACTTGAGCTAGATAATTCCTCTATTGAGATGCTTTTCCCAGGTGGCTCTAGATGGGGCAAGTTGACATTTAAAACTAACCATCACATTCATTTAGCAGTAGTGTATTTCACTACCCAGTAGCAAATAACTGATTATCACAGTACCAGTCTAGACTGCTGTGTAGATGGTATCATTGAGAATATTTTAGTTTTTTCTTTGTTTTCTTTCTTGAGACAGAGTCTTGATATGTAGTACAGGCTGACCTGGTATTCATTTTGTAGGTCAGTCTGGTCTCATATTAGCAATCCTCCTGCCTCAGCCTTGTGAATGCTGGAGCTACAGGGGAGTGCCACTATGTCCATTCCTTGAGCATCATATTGTTACTTTTATTTGTAACTTTTGGAGAATGGTCTATCAAAGAAGGCTTTGAGAATGATCCACACCAGTTGTGGTGGCACATGCCTTTAATCCTAGCCCTCGGGGGGGGGGGGGGGGGGCAGAGGAAGCTGGATTTCTGAGTTCGAGGCCAGTCTGATCAACAAAGTGAGTTCCAGGACAGCAGCCAGGGCTGCATAGTGAGACCCTGTCTCGAAAAACTAAGGGGGAAAAAAAAAGATCAAGTCCCTAGAGTAGGTAAAAGTTACAACTTTAAAGAAATTCCAAAGTTGACAATATTCTCATATAACTTAGCTTTATCTCTCCAGCCGAGCCCTCCTCCAGGTAGGACTACTGTATTTGCTGTATTAGTCACAGATTTCTGCATAATGAGTTAGCTAAACACTTAAACAATAAACATCGAATATGTGGCTATTTCTGTAGGCATGGGAGCAGCTTTCGTGGGTGGGGATTTCTGGCTTAGTGTGTCATGAGGTTCCTTCAAGTTGTAACATGTGGCTACCGTCATAGGAGGGCTTGCCTGTGCTGGAAGGTCCACTTCCGGCTTGGCTCACACACATGGGTGCTGGCAGGAGGCCTTCATTCTTCTCTGGCTTTGGCAGGAGACCTTAATTTCTTGCCACGTAGGCAATTCCATAGGGCTGATGGAGTGTTTTTATGACATGGCATCTGGCTTCCCAGGGATCCAAAAAATAGCAGGTTAGAAGCCACAGTATCTTTTCTGACTCACCCTCAGAAATTATACTCTGCCATTTCTATCCCACTCTGTTCTTTAAAAGCAAGTCACTAAGTACAGACCACACTGAAGGAGAGAGGGGAAAAGCTGCAGCCTTGAAGAGAAGAGCGGCAAGGATTCTGTGCAGATGTTTGTAATCTATCCCTTAGGCCTTCTCTAGGACGATTTTAGAAAAAATTATTATTATTATTATTTTAGTGACATGTCCTCTGTCCCACCTGTCCCTCTAACTTCTTCTCTCATGGCTTCTTTTTCAGTATATAAATGTATTTAGCTATGAATTATTTTAAAACTTAGGCAGGAAATATAAATCCCAACCTGGAATGGAGCCAACTATGTATAAGCTTCCAGCTTATACACTGGAATATACCACAGAAATAAAAGGTAATAACTAAGTGAATAAAAACAAAAATCCTGCCGGGTGTAGTGGTGCACACCTTTAATCCCAGCACTTGGGAACAGAGGCAGGTAGATCTCTGTGAGTTCGAGGCCAGCTTGGTCTACGTAGTGAGTTTCAGAATAGCTAGAGCTACATAGTGAGACCCTGCCTTGAAAAAACTCAAAAAATAAACAAACAAAAACCCCAAACAAAACCAACCAACCAAACAGAAATCCCTTTCATAAATGACTCTCTGTAGCTCCAGGCTTTTTTTTTTTTTTCCATTTTCAGCTAAGATGGTCACCAGTGGATTTCATTATTTGACCCATTTCTTCTTCTGCTCCCTGGTGGTCAACTGCCGTAGCTTTTACCCTGAGAATACTTTCCTTAGAATTCTAAGTGGAGTTATAGTGACCATGGAAGTAGTGACATATTCCTAAGTTTTAAGGCAAAAATAAAATTTTGGCTATGGAAGTTAGCTTATGTTGATGAAAGTTTTTTTCATGTAATTTCTATTTAAATCTGTTGAAACATACTCTGTTATACTTAGAATTAATTGTATCTGAATTTTAAAAATATAGATGTCTATGTATATATGCAAGTATAAACTTGAGACTATTTTCTACAGAGAAAAAAATTTTTTTTCCCTCCACAGTTGGAGAAGATGGACAGGTGAAAATCTGGTCAAAGACGGGGATGCTCAGGTCAACATTAGCTCAGCAAGGTATGTTCTGCAACTGGTTTTTAATTCCTAAGCCTGGACAACACACACGTCTCAACATTTTCTTTTAATAAATCTATTATAGGGCTAGAGAGATGGTTCAGAAGTTAAGAGCACTTACTGCTCTTGCAGAAGATCTGGGTTCAATTCCCAGCACTCACATGGCAGCTCACAACAGTCTGTAACTCCAGTTCCAGAGGATCTGATACCCTTGTCTGACTTCTGAGTGCACCAGACATGCATATGGTGCACATATATACATGTAGGCAAAATACTCAGACATATACAATGATAAAAAAAATAAATCTAAAACAAAGATTTTTTTTTTTTTAAAGTATCTATTATCGTGGTTGAAATTGACTTTGGTCACATTCAGAATCTGAATTCTCTTACTTCTATTTGGCCTTAGACACATTTTTTTTCAAAAGACTTGTTTATTTTATGTATGTGAATGTTTTGCTTGCATGTTTGTCTCTGCATCACATGCATGCCTGGTGCCTGCATGGGTCAGAAGAGGGTGAGGGTGTCAGATACCCTGGAACCAGAGTTTCGAGTGGTTGTGAACTACCTTGTGGGTGCTGGGACTTGAACCTAGTTCCTCTGCAAGAGCAACAAATGTTCATAATGGCTGAGCCATCTCTCCAGCCCCTATACATTTTTGTTATTATTACGTTTATGTATACATTTATTTGTGGGGTCACATGTCTTCACCCACCAAGGTGCACATGTGGAGATTACAGGTCAATTTGTGGGAGTTAGTTTTCTCATTCCACCATGTGGATTCCAGGGATGGGACTCAGGTCACAGCCGTGGTGGCAAGTATCTTATCCTGTTGAGTCATCTCATTGGCCCTATACCTTTTCTCACTTTCTGTGTTGCCTGATGGACCATGGTAATATTATTTAAATTAAGATATATTTTAGAAGCCAGGCATGAGGGCTGTGGGGTTGGAGAGATGGCTCAGAGGTTAAGAGCACTGGATGCTCTTCCAGAGGTCCTGAGTTCAATTCCCAGCAACCACATGGTGGCTCATACCCATCTGTAATGAGATCTGGTGCCCTCTTCTGGCATGCAAGCATACATGTAGGCAGAACACCGAATACATAATAAATAAATAAGTCTTAAAAAAAAAAAAGCCAGGCATGGTGTAGTGGACACCTTTAATCTCAGCATTCTGGATGTAGAAGGAGGTGGGTCTCTGTGGATTCAAAGTCAGACCGGTCTACACATTGAGTTCCTGGAAATCCAGAGCTACATTATTGACAGACAAGCTTTTTCTTTATGTTAGTGAAGCTATATAAGGACAATTGTAGGCTAAATACTCTTTTTAAATGATTCTGAAATAGTTAGAGCATCTTGCACATAAAGTATGTCTGGGTGTCTAGTTAGGACAGTCTAGCTGGGCATGGTGGTACATGCCTGTAATCCTAACACTTAAGAGATAAAGGAATGAGGATTCTCAAAAACAACTCATTGGTGGAATACTTTCATAGTATGCAGGAGGTCTTGGGTTTAATCCATGGTACTGAAAAGAATGAAAACCATGTAAGAGAAAATATCAAATGTATGGAATAGTGGACCATGTTTGTAATCTTAGTACTTGGATCCTGAGGCATGAGGATGCCCAGCAGTTAAAGGTTTGTTCTACATAGCCAGTTCCTATCTAGCCTGGCTACCCTGTCTCAAAACAACAAAAACCCCAATACTTTGATAATATTAGCTCTCCTTGTAAATTACGTTGAACTTTGATTTCTGTCCTCCTAAAAGGGAATGGACACAGTGATGAGTGAAACCAGGTAACTGACACTGTTTCAAGGAGTAGCTCAGTGTTGTGTGCGGGGAAAGGAGAGGCGACAAATCAGTGTGGCGGCCATTCCTGGTGGGGCGTCAGTTCCATGTCAATTCTTAGAGCAGTGGAGCAGGTTAATGATGTACGACAGAAAGCAGTCTTATGTTAACTAAGCATGTATGAGTACAGGCTGCCAAAACACTTGCAGATGATTGTTCGGAGTTATATTATAAAGTTATAGTATGAAGTATCTATAACCAATTCCACTTTAAAAATGGTGTTTACTTTTAGACTAATGTTAAGGTTACATTTATTCAGTTATTTGTTAAGCAAATGTTAACAGAAATGACCAGAAATGCTAAGTCGTCTTTTTCTTCTGAGGTAAAATTTTTTCTACCCATAATGTTTTAAGCAGAATGTTCATTGATTAGTATAGAAACTTTTAGAATTCTTAGGAACAGTCATAGGTATGTTCCATGTTTTAAAGTTGATTAGTGTTACTTTAGTAGTAAAATGATGAAATGTATCTTTAGAAAGTAAGTGTTACTTTAGTGGGAACAATGGTTTTCTTTTGGATTTATGCTTTTTTTTTCTTTTCTTCTTTTTTTTTAGTGCTGGAGCTGGAGCTCCAGGCCCTTGTAACTTGTAGGCAAGTGTTCCCACCACGCAACCTATAGCTCCAGGCCCCACAGATTTGCTTATACCATGCTATCAACAGTCAGAAGAGGGTGTCAGATCCCTTGGAACTGGGGTTAACAAATGGTTGTGAGCCACCATGTGGGTACAAGGAGCCAAATCTAGGTCCTCTGCAAGAGCAGCCACTGCTCTTAGCCGCTGAGCCGTTTCTCCAGCCCCTTCCTGGTGGTTTTCTTTGCCACATACTACCCTTGAGTCTCTTATTTCCGACTTTCCAAGTCTAAAGTAGAGACCTGGAATACGTTGCTTAATATTAACATTATTCATTAGACAGTAGTGATATAGTGCTCTTGAGCTGTTCTGTGCTGTGCTTTGTATGTTAGGGATCTAGAAACCGACCTACTGCCTAGTTCACAAACAAAGAAATGTTTTAAATTAGTAATGATATTATTCATCAGCATTCTAAATAGCATTAATTTCCTTGATAGAAAAGTGACTTTGAAAGCCGGATGGTGGCAGAGGCAGAGGCAGGTGGATTTCTGAGTTTGAGGCTAGCCTGGTCTACGGAGCAAGTTCCAGGACCATTAGGGCTACACAGAGAAACCCTGTTGGCAATGATGACTTTGAAACTGTTAATCATTTTTATCTTATTGAATCTTATTCTCATTAAAGGTTTATAGTCATTATGAAATTGATAAGTAATATTGTTTTATTTTCCTATTTCAATTATCCTGTTAATATTTCAGTTGAATAATCTGCTTTTAAAAAAAATTAATACTACAAAACTGTGCATTTAATTCTTGAGTTTTTAATTACAGGCAGACTTTTCCTCTTTCTTCTCTGGAAAATCATTAGAGAAGTTAACTTGTCCTAATGACCTATTACAGGAGGAACAGGTCCTGATGATTGATAAAGTGAGTTAGAGACCAGATTTGAGAGCAGTTGTAAATCTAGACTACTTGAAGGCTAGGTGCTGATGTCTTAAACCAGAAAGCTAGGCAAGTCAGCCTTCTTTACAGGGTCTGGAAGTTTGATACAAAAATATGTCAAATCCAAATTACTCCAAAACTTGGAATTCTATGAACAGTGTTGAGAGTACCCTTGTTATTTTGTCTACATGTTTATGTTAATTACATTTCTTTTTTTGAAAAGTTTATTCTCTGTCATATACACACACACACACATACATGCATACATGTATACATATTACACTTACTTGTTTAGTGTCTGTATATGTGTGTGGGTGAATGCATGCCATGGCACACATATGGAGATCAGAGTGCCACAGGTCCTCAGGCCTTAGTAGACACCCCCAGACCTTAGCACAACTGATGCCATATTGGAAGCACAATTCAGGCCTTGAAATCCAGCATGTAGACTGCAGCACCTGCCAAGACAGGAGGAAAGGCTCAGTCAGTGATTCCAGGAAAGTCCCCAAATGTTGTTTTCTACTCTCTGGGCTCCTTTTGGCTCTTTTGAGAGGCCCGCCACCCAGTTCCCAAATAAATCACACACGGAGGCTTATTCTTACTTATAAATGCCTGGCCTTAACTTGGCTTATTTCTAGCCAGCTTTTCTTAACTTTAAATTATCCCATCTACCTTTTGCTTCTGGGCTTTTTCCTTTTCTGGCTTCTGTAATCTTTCTTTTACTCTTACTCCATGGCCTGCTGTATGGTTATGTGGCTGGCCCCTGGTGTCCTCCTCCTTCCTCTCTCATTCCTTCTCTTTTCTCCTCCCAGATTTCTCCTTCTATTTATTCTGATGCCAGCTGCCTTGCTATTGGCTGTTCAGCTCTTTATTAGTCCATCAGGTGTTTTAGACAGGCACAGTAACACAGCTTCACAGAGTTAAACAAATGCAACATAAACAAAAGTAACACACCTTAAAATAATATTCTACAACACCCAAATGTAACTCTGCTTTTTTGGGCTTCTGTAGTTCCACTTCTTATTAACTGAAATGTAACAACCAGGATGTGTTTTTTGTGCATAAAAGATAGAATGGGGGCGGGGGGTCGGGGCTGCATGATTTGGGCAAGCTTCCCCATGTAGTCAACAGCCCACAATAAAGACTTCTCTTTGGTTTTAAGAGTGTCCATGTGGCCATCTCTGGTGTGCTAACCTCACAAGAGGACAACTTAAGAAGTTGATTTTTCCCTTCAGTCATATGGGTCCTGGGGATCAAACTCAGGTCATCAGGCTTGGCAGTATGTGCATTTCCCTGCTGAGCATCTTGTTGGCCCTTACATTTATTATTGATGAAGGGAAATTAGTTCCTGAATTCATTTCTTTCTTTCTTTTTTTGGAGTCAGGGTTTCTAGCCCTGGCTGTGCTTGAACTCACAGAGATCCTCCTGACTCTGACTCTGGAATATAGGGATTAAAAGTGCATGCCACCATAGCTGGTCCTGTTTTCATTTGTTGACTATTAGAGCTTTTTATGTAGAAAGTTTACAACTACTAGATTTTTATATAGAAAATGATAGTTATAACTCTCTTTGAATATTAAAGATGAATCCTAACTTGAGTGGGATGCAGTTTGACTTGGCTTAGAAATGATTCTTAGTGGTGCCTATGA